TCCTGTTATCAACAGGTCATCGACATAGAGACACAATATAAGCAATTCACTATTGCTTCTCCTTACATATACTTTGTTAGAACACAGATTGGTGTTTAATTATATCACTATGTTTTGATGATAACTCTAATGAAATTTTGTATTAAGAAAATATATACTCTAATTTTGTTCAAGTGTTTTTGTTTCAGATATTAAATTAAATATTATTATGGAAGCAAAAATGTATCTGAACAGTATTCTACGCAAAGCTCTGAAGCATCAGAAGCAAGTGATCAGAAGACTCTGAACGCTGTCAGAAGACTCTGAAGCAGAAGCTGCAGAAGACTCTGAAGCGTAGTTGAAGAATTTGTATGAAGAGTGTTAAGCATTGTTTCAGAAGACTCTGAATGCACTTTACACTGCAAGTACATAGGCTCTGATAAACAAGTATGCTCTGATCAGATCACTCACGCTGAAGCACTGTTGCTGCAACTCTGATATCATTGAATCTGATCTGAAGAACAAGAAGCACATCAGAGGATCTGATGTTGTTTACGTTTGAAAATATGTCAGCACGTGAATAGACTTGGTACTATTCTCAACGTCCTCTCCAACGGAACTATTCCTTATTTATGATAGACACAAGGATTCGGGCAAAAGGCATTTCTCTGAACATTCCACTTCTGAGAAAGAAAAAATCATGTGAAGACAAAAGGCTACAGCTACACTACTTGCACAGTCTTCAAGCATTGGACTTTCAACACTATAAAAGGACGTCTTCAACATCTCTTCAAGGTTAATGAATCATTGACAAACTCATTGAAATTATTCAACAACTCTCATACAATCTTTCTTACTCAAAGCTGAATAGTTTTTATTTGTTCTTAATCTAAGTGTAAAAATCACAAATTGTGATATAGCTTTTTAGAAGCATATTAAACACTTGTTAGTTTACATTTATTTGTAAAAGATTCCTTAAGAAGACCAAGTTGTGGTCAGGATTTCTTGAGAAGACTAAGACAATTGTTCTTAGTGGTTGACATTGTAATCTGTTTGAATATAGTGGATTGAGTCCTTGTGGAGAAAGGCAAATCACCTTGATAGGGTGGACTGGATTAGTTGAGTTCAACGAACCAGGATAAAAATCTTGTGTTGTTTTTATTGCCATAGTTTTTCTAAACCCTTATTCAACCCCCTTTTAAGTGTTTTTCTCACCTTCATACTTCATACTCAGTTGTGCACTTCACAAATTTCTTCTCCCTTAGAAAGTTGTCAATCTTCTTATTCCAAGCTCTCGGAGCTTGTTTAAGTCCATACAGGGTTTTATGCAGCCTGTACACCTTACTTTCTTCGCCTTGTTTCACAAACCTAGTAACATGTGCAAACACTTCGTCGAAGTCGATTCTCTCCTTTTGAAGAAATCATTTCACCACAAGTCTCGCCTTGTGTCGAGTTGCTTCTCCTTTAGGATTCACCTTCACCTTGTAAACCCACTTCACATCAATTGTCTTCTTTCCTTAAGGCAATTCGACAAGTGACCAGGTGTTGTTGACTTTGATGGAGTCTAACTCCTCATTCATTGCTTTCACCCACTTAGAATCTTTTAATGCCTCAGTTACATTGTCTAGTTCGATATCTGCGTAGAAAGCATAATGTACCAGCTCACCATCTTTATCGACCACATCATTTGATGTAATCACACATTCTTGCAACCTTGCAGGAATGTGTCTTGTTCGTCGAGGTCTGCTTAAGTCTGCTTCATCTCTGACTTGTTCCTGTCGAACTTCTCTTTCGACTTCAGTTGCTGGTTCTCCACAAGAGATTCTCACTAATCCTTCTTGACATTCTCAGTTCAATTTCATTTTTTAAGCTCATCTATGATCATTTCATTGTTGATCACTACCTGCTTATTCACTAGATCAAACAACTTGTAACCTCCAGTCGAGTGATATCTTATCAAAATCATCTGATTCGACTTGTCATCAAGCTTACTTCTCAACTAATCTGGCACATGTCTATGTGTTATAGATCCAAACATCTTCAAGTGACTAAGGCTAGGCTTGACACCAGACCAACATTATTCTGGTGTGATTCCTTCAAGCTTCTTCGTTGGACATCTGTTTAATATGTATGTTGCTGTCGAAACCACTTCTCCCCATAGTTCTTTGGGTAGATGTTTTCCATTCAACATAATTCTCACCATGTTCATGATGGTTCTGTTCTTTCTTTCTCTAATTCCATTTTGCTGTAGTGTGTAGGGTGACACCACCTCATGCACAATCCCTTCTTTTTCACATAATGTATCAAACTCTTTTGACACATACTTTCCACCACCATCAGTCCCTAGGATTTTTATCTTTCGACCATAGATTTGAATCTGGCAAATACCTCGATCACATCACTTTTCTTCTTGATGAGGTAAATCCATAACTTTCGAATGAAATCATTTATGAGCGTGACAAAATATCTGTTACCTCCAATCAAATCCACCTGGATAGGACCACATACATCAGAATATATGACTTCGAGAATTTCCTTCGACTTCCTTCCTGCATCCTTGCTGAAGCTATCTTGTGTTGTTTCGCCTGAACACATTCTTCACACACTTCGCTTAGAATGTCGATTTCTAGTAATCCTGAAACCATATTTCTTCTCTTCAAATCTCTGATGTCTTTGAAGATGAGATGGCCAAGTCGATAATGCCATATCCATTCATCTCTGCTGGCTGTAGTTGCTAGGAACTTGTGCTCCATCACATTGAGTTCAATCTTGAAGGTCATACTCTGAGACATTGGAGCCTTTAAGATCAACCTACCAACTGCTTCGAAAACTCTCATCACTTATCTTCGACAACTACCTTGTAGTTCCTTTCGACAAGTTGTCCTATACTGAGCAGGTAACTTTTTATGTCTGGTATGTATAACACATTAGAAATTATTGATTTCTTGCCATCCTTCCTCACGATTTGAACATCACCAACACCTTCAACTGCTAGAGTGTTACCATTTGCAAACTTCACCATATTCTTTAATGAGGGTTTCATGTTGACAAACCAATCTTTTCTTTCAGTCATGTGTGATGAGCATCCTGTTAGAGCTTTATTGATATTTTAATAAATATAAAATAATAATCAAAATCATTGAAATTTGATAGTGTGCGTTAATTATATAACTAACAAAAACTAATTGTTAATTCACTTACTGCCATGTCATTCTTATTTCAATGCAAATTATTTATAACTAACGTTACTTTTAAAGAATTTAATACTACAGAACCGGTATTAAAGAACAACCTTCATCATATTAATAAATTAATAGAAGAAGAACAACGTCTTGAAATATTTCTTTCATAATTCTCTATGTAACATTTTGAACATTTGATGCATCATTGACAAGTCTTACATATCTATTTGCACTATATCTAACACATTTTAAAATCTAAAAAATAGACTTATTTGTTTGCTCCATTTATTCCAAGTCATTCTATCAAGAAACAGAGTTTTCCACTAAAAACAATTTTCAAGATCCTCTAAGAAATCACAATCTTCACTTAATGATCAAGTAGAATGGACACTACATCTTAAATACTTATAGAACTAAAAAGTTAAGATGTTGTAAATACCACTTGTTAGGACTATATAGACACATATTGAAGAAAAAGATAAAAAAAATAAGTAATTTGTCTGTATTGCAATCAGCATTGCTATTTAATATGATGAATTATCTTCCGATTTTTGTGGAATACATGGATAATAGTGGCATAAAAAAGGTCAAAGTAATGCCACATCATTCTTTTATCATTCGTTTCGTTACATACAACATTTTTCTATTGCAATTTTAACAATAACATTCACTTGTGATTGATACAATTAAAATCTTAAACTCTAATCAACCATTAATGATTATTTATCCAATACTCATGGACTTACAAACACCGACAAAGACTAATATATATATATATATATATATATATATATATATATATATATATATATATATATATATATATATATATATATATATATATATATATATATATATATATATATATATATATATATATATATATTTTAAATGTCATTCTCTAAATGAATTGAACACAATTTTTCTTCAATATAAAATTTCATAATTCTAGATCCTAAGAGACTCTCCCTTAAAATTGTATTCTTTTGTTTATATTATAAAAAGAAAACTATGTATAATCCATCCAAAAAACATCATTGATATGCATCAGAAAGTCACAACCACCAAATGATAGATTTAATTCAGATATGTGGGACAGGAGAGAATTGTAATTTACTCAAATAAATATCTCCAAACCATAGTACAACTGGCACATGATACCCTTCTGCTAAAACTTTTTCCTTTCTTAATTTTTTTTAAACACAATGTTTACATTGTCTTAATGATATATAAGTTAACAATTAGTTTTGTCTAATATTGATTCATCGACAGAAATTTCAAGCTCTTAAAATCAGACGTTTTGCACAACTATCAACTGAACTGGTTTGGATATATGAGTGTGAAAGTTTTATTGCGAAGGAAGTGTTTCTCTCTCACCTAATCTTAAATAGTAGTAAATATATGCAAAATACTTGAGCACATGTTTTCTGAATGTTGGGTCCATGCATCACCACAACAGAACACAAAGTATCAGAAACAAACACAAACATATCAGAAAGCTTAATTTGAATTGTCCTTGATTGCTACTACTACTACCACCCATTTCAAAAAGTAGATTGCATAGAAACTTAATATATATGCTTTCCAGTCAAACAACTTAAGTGTGAAAATCTGAGACATGTTTTTTTTTTTAATAAAACTTTTCTTCATGTTGAAGAAACAAACATATTATAATAAAATGACACAAAAATCCTAATGTGGTCCCCTACATAACACAATAAAGATCACACCTTTTGGTAAAGAAAATTCACCCCAGCCACACATAACATCTTGATCCTTAACTCTTTCTTGGCAGTATCCACTATCCACCATCAACTCATTATCATCAAAATAATAACTTCATTCATCTGTCAAGTATAATAATAATAATAAAGTATAATATTATATATTAATAACAAAAAAACAAAGGAATATTGATAAATGATAATGATATTGATAATAATGATAATGGACCTGTTTGGATTCTGGAGTTGGAAGCAAGATCTAGCCAAGAATCAGTGTTCTTTGGTGTCCATTCACCAAAGAAATGATGAAGTGGTTTCTGAGTTGTCTCACTTTCTTTGTCCTTGTTTGTTGTTGGTCTTGTTGATTTGAAGTCTGTGCCTAAAACAAAACAGTGTTGTTCTTGTTGTTGATGTTGCTGTCTTGGATTATCATCATTGATGTTCTGAAATTGTGAGCTAGCATATGATGATGACTTATAGGAATTCAGTTGTTGTTGTTGATATGAATCATGGTAAGTCCTAGAAGAACCAGAAGCTTCTGGAAAGAAGGTTCTCTCATCCATAGCTCCATCTCTTATCCCTTGAACTTGAACATGCCTCCTTTATCATCAACAATCAATTATTACATCAAAAACACAAAAACTAGTATTCTAAGGTTTCTGTACATACCTATAGTCCTTGTCATCCTGAGAATAAGATCCAGAATCCAGAAAGAGGTGATGAGTAGTAGAACCATCATGAGGCTGAAACTCAGAATGATCAAGTGGTTTAGAGGCAGTAAGAGATTGTTGAGAATAAAAGTAAGGGTTTTGGTAGGGTTGTGAAAAGGCTTGTTGTTGTTGAGATTCATGAAAAGGAAAAGAAGAAGGTGAGGTTAAGGTATTGTTGTTGGTGTTCAAGGAGAGGTTTCTGTTATTGGTTTGTGATTGAGATAGAGAGATTGTGTTTGTGTTTGTGTTTGTTGTTGATGATGATGAAGAAGAAACAACTAGTTCCACAGGCTTTCTTGAACGGTTTCTACCTCTGTGCATGTGTCTTTCACAGTACTTAGAGTCTGGATATGCTTCCTTTGAACATCTCCATTTCTTGCCATCTGTTCTTCTGCACCTTCCTGGCTCTGGGTCTACTTTTCTGCCAAATCCCATTTCAAAACATCCCCACCCAACTGCACCATACACAGTTATCATAACAATTACATAATAGTAACAATAATAATAGTAACAATAATAATAACAACAACAATAATAGAAACTTTATTATATATATATAAAAAACATACTTGGAGGATGTGGAAAGATTCTTGAAGATATAGAACTGTCCAAGCTTCTTTTGATAGAGAAGATAAGATCTGGTGGAATAGGTGTACCTGTAACCATGTATTTGAAAACAAGAGCTTGCTGTTCAAGCTCTTGCCATTGATTTGGTGTAAAAGGTGACCTATTTCTTGAACTTGCACTACTCATCATTTTCTTGAGAGTTTTTTTTTTCTTCTAAGATTTTGTGGTTTATAATAATTATATTGTGCTATCTATGATATGCTATGCATGAGTTGTGTTGTGGCAACTCTTGAGGTATTTTTTTTGGCTATGTGGTGGATGGAAGAGTGAATGAGTGTGATGTTATAATGACTGCACCTCTCTGAGATGGTTTCTGTAATTTTTGGTCTGCACCTGCCTTTGTTGTTGTTGCTGCTGCTATTGTCTCTGACATCTTTTACAGAAATTCATAAACAAATGTACAAAGAAAAAAATAAAATAAAATTCAAATGCATGTTAGTAGTCCATGCACCTTTGGTTTTGCTGTCTCCACATCACTCTTTGAAAACAGTGCCATTAGATTATGTGTAAGTGTAAGCTGCTTAGATACCTATACTCACTATTATTATATCATATCATATAATATACTAGAGTATTTTCACCTCAGATAAAAAATAATGGTATCAAATAGTATAAAAAAATACTTTTAAGGTGTTATTCATTTATTGTGAATATAAAATATTAAATTGATAATAATGTAAAAGATTTTAAGTAAAATGAAAAGTTGAAAAATAATTATTTATAGATAATGTTTCAGATTACAAGAGATGTCAGATCTTCACGAAAAATTAAGAGCGGAGAGAAATAACATAATCAAATAATCAAAGTTCTATTATCACGTAAGAAGGAGATATCACAACTTCACGCAAAGATTTAATGTATTAAGTATTTTTCTGTTTTAAAATGATTGTCGTTTAAAATTTTTGCACACAAATTAATGAATGTAATAATATTGTCATATAATAATGTAGTTTTATTAAATTAACCCTATTAATATATTGGAAGTAGTGTACAGAACAATAATTAAAGAACACAATAAAAAAATTATTATTATTTTTATATTGAAAAGTGGGAATGACATTTATTTTGAAATAATTTTTTTCTCTAATGTTGAGGTTATTCGGGGGGAGGGGGGTTTCAACACGAGAAAGCATTTTTATTTTGGAGTCTTCTTTTTATGAGCAACACACATTTGTGAGACACACCACATAACTCACCAAAAGCCTTAAAGGGATATGTGTGTGGGTTCTCCCACTTACAAATATTCAAGTCTCAACATTTCTAATCAACGTGGGACTTGTCCACACTACTCATACTTGTAATTCTTTTTCAACAATCTCCCTCAAGTGTGAGTCTATCCACAATGCTCCCTCTCAAGTGGAAGTTATTTCATACACATATACTTGTACCGTCGTTGATACTTTTTCAACGCACCACCTCCTACACTATAGGGAATTTCAATACAAATGAGTTGATCATTTCACTCGAACTAGAGACTCATAGTACCACTGTTGCGGTTATTCGGGGGGTCAACACGAGGAAGCATTTTTACTTTAAGATCTTCCTTTTATGAGTAACACACCTTTGTAAGAGACACGTCATATACTCACCCAAAACTTTAAGGTGATAGATGTGTGGGTTCTCCCACTTATAACTCAAGTCTCCACATTTTTAACCAATGTGCTTCAGAATTTATGTTTTGTGATGTGGGATCCATGTCACTAAATTAGTGACGTGATATTCACATCACTGTATGCTAAGACTGACATCCCTGTGCGCTTAAGAATTGATACATTGCGACGTGAAAAGCTTGTCACAATTTAGTGACGTGCTTTTCACCTGGGAACCAAGTTTATATATTTTTGTATGTTGCGACGTGCCAACCATGTCACAATTTAGTGACGTGATATTCATGTGGCAAAAGTTGTCACGGGTGCTCCTGCGACGTGTTTTACCCACGTCGTTGATTTTCGTTAGTGATGTGATTTTTGCCTTAGTGACGTGATTTTCACGTAGGGAGTTGACTGTATTTTTTATAGTGCTTGTAATTATTTTTCAACACTCCCCTCAAATGTGAGTTTATCCACAATGCTCCCCCTCAAGTGGAAGTTCTTTCATCAACATACACTTGTATCGCCGTTGATACTTTTTCAATGCACCACCTTCTACCCGATAGAGAATTTTGATACAAGTGAATCGGTCCCTTCACTCGAAGCAAATGCTTAGGATACCACTGTTGGGGTTATTCGCCAGGGGGGTCAACATGAGGGAGAATGTTTACTCCAGTGTATTCTTTTTATGAGCAACACACTTTTGTGAGAAACACAACATATACTCACCCAAAATCTTAGGCTATGTTTGAGTATTATAAAATGAGCGGAGCGGAATGAAGTGAAATGTAGTGGAGCCGAATGAAATAAAGATGTCGTTGCAATGCTTGGGTATTTCACGACAGAATATAGAGATCTTATCATTCCGCCCAAATTGGAGGGTACAAAAAATGATGAAAAGTGATAGAATGGGATGGAATGCATTCCATTCGATTCCTCTCAATTCCATCCTTTTTTTAATCAATCCAAACAATGAAATTTAAGTTTATACCGTCCCATTAGTTTCAATTCCATCAATTCAAACATACCTTTAAGGTGGTAGGTGTGTGAGTTCTCCCACTTATAAATGCATATGTCTCAAAATATCTAACCAATGTGAGACTTCCTACACTACTCACACCTGTAATTCTTTTTCAATATTTAAAACAAATATTATTTTGAAACAGATGGAATATATGGTGAATCATCTCTCTAACATTTTACTCATTCATAATTGATGTAAAATTTAACCACTTACACTTGAATAGAAGAATCTTTCCCACAAATAAGTCTCCCACATCTTATCCGCCGTTCCTCCACCAAATGAAAAAGTAGGCTTTGATACAATTTGTTTGAGAGTTGATAGAAATCATAAGTAACAATAGAAACAATGCTCCACTCCAAAGCTACAAGAAAGATGTCACAACTCCACACAAAACCTTAATGTATTAGATATATGATTGTTTGGAAAATTTTAAAAAAATCAATAATTCATAACCATATGAATGCGAGACTAATACATATCCATTTAAAATTTTAAAATATTAGACATATGAATAAGTTATTTTATAAATTTAATATTTGACTCACTCATAATCGACTTAGAACTTAATTATTCACACTTAAACACAACCGATCTACGATGAGAAAAAAATTGAAAAAAATTGTAAAATTAATTTTATTTAAAAGCAAGTCAATTGTAAAATAATTTAAATTTGGCTACTTTTCTTATTATAAAAATGGGTTGAATAATAAATATTAATAAAAAAAACTATAATTAAACTCTAAAGCTATAATATAATCATTAACTTAAAGTTAAAATCAATTTTACATTATCACACAAAAAAAAATCAATTTTACTAAACAATCAAAGTTTATTTTATCTTCAAATATGGAATCAAATATAAGAATATGTGAAATACAATCGGTGGTATCAATATCTTTTGCAATCTTATGGTATGGTAGCTTTTGAATATAAAAAAGGCTAGTATATGTGATTTATAATCTTTTTTGGCTTAAGCATGCGTGGCTTTATCTTATTGACAGATATTGGAGGCCATTGCTAAAGCTGAATCCATCTTTTATTTTTAGGTACGGACATACTGATTTTTTTATATCTTTTCTAACATTTTCTCACCATTAAGCATCTCACTTTCATCGGTAGAAACTGGGTTACAGTCAATTTTGGACTCTTATGTTTCATTGTGTACAGTCATGTCATGATAATCCTTTACATGTTTGTCTTTTAATGATTTCTTCAACCACAAGATGAATACTAGCTACTACATCATCTTTTTGGGCCACAGGAATAACAGGTAAGTGTGTGTTTCAATTCTCTTTTTTTAAATATATTAAAGTTGTGCCTATGTTACCAAATATAGCCTTTGGATGAATCATTGGTTGAGGCTTTTTCTAATAGGGTGTAAGATTAGTTAAATGTGATGTTTTAAGTACATGTTTAGATTATTTAGGTTGTAGTTTTTGTTTTAGAATTTAAAATTAGTTAAAGTAATCGGTTAGTAGTTGTCAATAGTAATATTTTTTGTTTATTTTTTAATTTATTAATAATATTAATTTTATTATGTAAATATAAAAAGTGTTTATTGTTTCAAGGAATGATATGCTGAAAAAAGAAATTGATTGAATATATTGGTGATTGTGAAAGGGAATTTAAGATACAACTCTCACATGATTATGTTATAAATCTAAAGGATAACTTAGAGTTTATATACATGTTGTATTCATATTGATAAGAACATTTGGAAAGAGTTTGTCAAGTCCCGCACCACTTCTGAGTTTATGGCTAAAAGCCAAAAGGAAAGGAGAATAGAGTAAGGAATATCTATCCACAAATATTGTCTCATGGAAGATATCTTAAACGGGAACATATATTGATTAATGGAAACGAAAAGAAAAAGAAATAGAGCTAGGTGATCCTTCTAGAAGCCTTGATTGCAATTCATATACACTATCATGCCATGAGAAATGGAAGAGGGCACGTCAAAGACGAAGGGGTGAGTTCACATCAGAGGCTACACATGAAGTTGCTGAAAAGATTGTACATAGATACTTTTTTCAACATATTTAAGTTAATTAAATTTGGTAAAATTGAACTTTTATATGTTTTGTAGGATTTATTGGTTGAAACTCTAAAAATAGTATATTTGTTCCACAAGAATGTCATGACATTTTAGTAGATGCGATTGGAACAGAGGAGCATGGTGAGCGTGTTCGTGGTCTTTAAGAGGCGTCGGCTTGAGGTTATTTTTCGTACCATCGTAAATAATTAACAAAGTAATCTGTAAGAGACAAATTAAAGAGATATTTGATCAAAGTGTGGGGGAGAAAGTGCAAGAAGTATTATAACTAGATAGGGAGAAGTGGACTCAAGAGGCACGGGAGAAAATGAATCAAGAGGAACGTGGCAAGGTGCATTTCGAAGAGCGAGAGAGATTGTTGCATGAGGTGCGAAAGAGATTCTAGGAGGAGCGAGAGAGGTTGACTGAGGTAGAGCAAGAGAAGCTTACTCGCGATGTGATCAAGGTAAGTATAAGTTTGGTT